TGTGTGTGTGTGTGTGTGTGTGTGTGTGTGTGTGTGTGTGTGTGTGTTGGCTTTGCTTTGTTTAATCCTTCCTCCAAAAAGGATGTGACAAGGCTCACGGTCCTGCGCCCCTTGCATGGCTGTCTTGGTGCCCAGGGTCAGTCCTCACTGCATCTCCTTGTCCCTCGGGACGCTACAGGGACTCCCCACAACAAAATCGCTTGTGTCTGCTAGGCTTCTGTCCCACTGCGAAAGACAGGGACCTCACTTGCCACACCCTGACTCCCTGGAGCCCATCTGTCTTTGCGTGTGTGGCCAATAAAGAGTTCGGGATACAGCTGGTGTGTGTGTGTGGGGGGGGGTGAAACCATGAGCAGAGGAAGAGGTGGAACCCAGGCTGAAAGCAAGAGAGAGCTTCTGGGGGAAACAATAAAATGTAGCACAGGGAGCATCAGCAGCCCCCTGGAGGGACAAAGGAAAGCTTTGGAAAGCCCTGGGCAGCTCCAGATTGCTGTGTCCACCCAGCTGGCGACTTAGAGCAGGGGTTCTCCACCTGTGGGTCGAGACCCCTTTCAGGTCAACCAACCTTCTCACAGGGAAGGCTTGCTTTTTTGAGACAGGGTTCTGTGCAGCCCTGGAACTCTATAGACCAGGCTGGTCTCAAACTCAGAGATCTACCTGCCTCTGACTCCCCGAGCAATGGAATTAAAAGTGTACCACTATGCCTGTCTACCCCCCCCGGGGGGGGCATTTTTAAAGCTCCCTGATAGGAGGGCTGGAGAGATGACTCAAGGTAAGAGCACTGGCTGCTCTTCCTGAGGTCTTGAGTTCAATTCCCAGCAACCACATGGTGGCTCACAACCATCTATAATGATATCTACTACCCTCTTCTGGTGTGCAGGTGTACATGCAGGCAGAACACTGTATACATAATGAGTAAATAAATCTTTTTTTTTTTTTATATATATAACAGTATGGTAAGAATATAATTATGTTAGTTTTGTTTTTTTTCTCGTATTTTATTTTTTTTCTTATCAGTTACATTTTATTAAATCTGTACCCCAGCCGTGTCCCGATCCCTCATTCCCTCCCAGTCCCTCCCTCCCTCCCTCCTCTCCACCGTGCCCCTTGCCAAGTCCACTGATAGGGGGGACCTCCTCCCCATTCATCTGATCCTGTTTTATCAGGTATCCTCAGGACTGGCTGCAAAGCTCTCCTCTGTGGCCTAACAGGACCGCTCCTCCCTTGGGGGGTGGGGAGGCCAAAGAGCCAGCCTTTGAGTTCCTGTTAGAAATAGTCCTTGTTCCCCTCACTATGGGAAACCAATTGGTTACTGAGCTACCACAGGCTACATCTGAGCAGAGGTTCTAGGTTACATTCATACATGGTCCTTGGTTGCATGTCAGTCTCAGAAAAGACCCTGTGCCCAGATATCTTTGGTCCTTGTGGAGCTCCTATCCTTTCCTCATCAGTCTAACTCCCCTTCTTTCTTATGATTCCCTGCACCCTGCCAAAGGTTTGGTCACGAGTCTTTGCTTTGAAAACACCGCTAGTTAGAGTCTTTCCAATGCGTTCAGTAGACTCCTGTCAATGTTCAATGCGTATCCCATCTGTCTTTCAAAACGAGGATTGATCATCTTACCTCATGTCTGCTCTCTTGATTATCTTTTTTAGGTGTACAAATTTCATTATGTTTATCACATGTTATAGGTCTATATAAGTGAGTATATACCGTGTTTGTCTTTCTCCTTCTGGGATATTTCACTCAAGATGATCTTTTCTAGATTCCACCATTTGCCTGCAAATTTCATGATTTCCTCCTTTTTGATTGCTGAGTAGTATTCCATTGTGTAAAAATACCACAATTTCTGTACCCATTCCTCGAGTAAATAAATCTTAAAAAAAAAAAAAGCTCCCTGATAGAAGGGCCCATTTCTCTTCATCATCCTGTCTTTGTCAGCACGCCATTACCTGGTGTGCAGTAGTTACTCAATAAACACGGACTGAGTGCATGAGTCTTCCACTCCAAGCATTACCCAGACAGTCCATCTGCATTTAGTTAATATGCACATTTTTTCCATTTTAAAAATAAAAACAAAAGGTTTTAGGAGATAACTCAGTTGGTGAAGTGCTTGCAGCTCTAACACCAGGACTTGGCTCCATCCATAGCGCCCACATGGGCAGGCAAGATGGCCCTGGGGGTCAGAGAGCTTGCCACACGAGTCTGACCACCCGAGTTTGATCCTGGAACTCATATAAAGGCCGAAGGAGAGAAATGGCTCCAAAAGTTGTCTGGGACCTGCACGAGTGACTGGTGTGTGCTCACCTCCCCCACTCCAATTACACAAACTCTGAGTGCAGCTGCACACGCCTGTAATCCCGGCCCGGGGGAGGTGGAGAACCCTGGACTGGATGACAAGCGCGCTCCCCGTTCACTGAGGGACCCTGCCTCCAAAGGACAAGGTGGGGAGGCCACAGCTATAGCGTTAACAGCACACACTGCTCTCACAGAGGACCAGAGACTGGCTCCCAGCACCCGCACAGGGGTCCCCACAACCCTCCACCTCCAGCTCCTGGGGAGTCCCACAGCCCTGGCCTCGGAAAGCACCTGCTTCATGCACACACACACACACACACACACACACAGTAATTAAAAATAATAAAAACCAGACATTTAAAAAATCCCATAAAACTAGAAAGGGGTTGAGAAAAACCCTCAGGACTGACTGCTGGACTCCACAAGCAAGTGGAGCACACACACACACACACCACACATATATGAAAAACAAAGTAAAATACAGAGATGTAGTCCCTCTGCTTTGTGTCTGGGAGACATGTCCAATGAGTCAGATACAAACTAAATGTTTTGTTTGAATGTTAATATGTTTGGAGACTGTTCTGGTCCAGATCTCTTCAAGTATGTATAACAATGAGTCTCAGCTTAACAGCCAGTCTGCCCCCCGCCCCCAACCAACAGATCCAGGATGGATACTTTCACGATGGACTTTAAGGTTCTTCCATGGCTCGGCTATGCAAGGGAGGGCTAAGCAAGTGGAGCTTGTTTTTGTTTTAATGGAGTGTGCTCATGATTCTCCATAGGTCAAGTGGAGAGATGGGGAAGGAAGGTGTGTGTGAGGGGAAACAGGAAGCCTTTCCAGAAATAACACACACACACACACACACACACACACACCCTGGCGGTCCTCAGTTTCTCTCTGCTGAAACACAACCCCGCCTTCTATTTTCCACGCCCCTCCCCAAGCCAGAGAGACACAAAACTTTGATCTTTATCCATGCGGCATTCCGCTTAAGCGTTCATAATGGGGTGAAACTCTATAAAAACAGGGTGGAAGGGGCTTCCCCTCGAAGGAATTAAGATTGGAACAAAAGTAGACATTGTTCAAAAGTTAGTTCTAACCCCAACCCACCCTACTTGCATTCTTTAAAATCGGTTGACTTTTGGGATCTCAGCATCGGGCCAGAAATACCGAAGCATTACCGGTGGGCGGCCTGCAGGGAGGTGCGGCGGTTCACGCGGCGGTGATGGAATGTTCTAGAATTAAGTGCACAAACACCGTCTGCACAACAAAACGTTTACACGCGCCTATTTTTAAAACCGCGGCTCTGCATTTCTAAACGGTAACTTCTATGAAGCATACCTAGGTCTTTTTTTTTTTTAATCTCTAAATTAAATATTTTAAATTATAAAAAAAGAATGATGGGGGCTGACTAACCGGCTCGGCGGCGGGATACATCCCTAGCGCCGCCGCATGAGTGCACTGGTAATCTATAGGGGTCGCTAACAGCCGTTAAAGTTAAAAGTGTGCCCTTCTGACGCTGAAAACGTGGCCTGGTGTGCAGGCCCTGAGGGACAGCACCTGTGGGGTCAGTGACAGGCTGTGACCTGGCCATTTTCTCAAGCAGCAGGCTTTCCCTTCCCGGATCTTCACCTTCGCTCCTTAGGATTTCCCACATCCAGTCCACGCAGAGCTCCCTTGGTCAGCTGAGGGCCTCCGCCCTCCTGGCCGAGGATGAGACCTCCTGAGGCCGGGGGGCGCGGGCTCCCTGCAGCCCCTCCGGCTCCGCCGCCAGAGGCGTTTTGCTTCGACAGCTAAACAGGGCTGAACTGGCTTTTCAAACGGAAACGGTTCGGACACGGGGCCCCAAACCCGCTGGTCTGAGGCAAGCAGCAAAAGCCGGATTCAACGGCCCGCGAGATGGCCCCGCGGTTAAGGGTGCTCGCTGCCAGCCCGACCCGCCGACCCCACCCCGGGGCCACGCAGTTCGTGGGGAAGCGGCGGATCCTTCCGACTGACACACGCAGTGTGCCCAGCATGCGCCTACACACACGCGCACACACACACGCGCGCGCGCGCACACACACTGTCTCTTTTTAAATGAAAGCTGAATTCGGATTTGAAAAACAAAGTAAACAAACACATACGCAAAATAAATACTTTTTTTTTTTTAAATGAAGCCGAATTCGGGTTCAATAAAACCAAGTGGGTCCGGCCGTACCTGGTTTTCCCTCTCCAGTCCCGAGGCACCCACCCCCCCCTGGCCGCCGCGCTCGCCCTGCCCGTGGGTCCCCTAACCCCACCCCCAGCCACCCCCGGGCCCCGGCTCCAGCCGTTTCCCCACCCGGGACCCTCTCGCTCCTCCGCTGGCCCGGGGCGTGATCCCCGCTCAACACGTTCCTGGACAACGCGAATATTTTCTAACCTCCACCTCGGGGAAGGACGCCCACTTAACAGACGTTGAGAAAGGGAGGGAGGTGGAAAAAAATCAGTCCCGGCAGGGGAGGTTCGAGGGCAGCCTAGACGTGACTTCACTCGAGCTCTCTCCCCCTCTCCCCGCGGAAGCAGGAGGCGGCGAGCGCGGGGAAGGGCCGGGCTGGTGCTGCTGGGGCGCAGGGTCCCCCCGCGCCCCCCGCAGCACCGGGGCCCCCGGACACTCACCCTCGGCGCGCGCGGGGGGCGGCTGCAGACCCAGCAGGAGCAGCGCGGAGCAGAGCGCGGGCAGGCTGCCGGGCCTCCGCGGCCCCGCGCTCATGGTGGCGGCGTCCGCGGGCTGCGCGCCGCCGGAGACTTCCCGGGGGATGCTGGAGCCGCGGCCGGGGATGCTGCGGGAGTCGCAGCCGGAGCGCCGGGACCCGCGAGCTCCCGGGGGTCTCGGCTGGCGCCACCCAGGCGGCTGCAGTCCGGCTCCGCCTTCGCGCCGGGCACCTGGGAGCCGCGGTGCCAAAAGGGGCTGCGCCCGGGGCGCGGCCGGGGCGGAGGGCCAGGGCCCGGAGGGCGGGCAGCGGGTACCCTCGAGGGGAGGACGGTCTCCGCGCAGGGTTGACTGGGCGCAGGCTTCCAGACAGAACCTTCTTTAAACGAACCCTTCCTTTTTAAATGAGAGGGGAAGCTGCTGATTTGCTAGCCTCGGTCCTCAACAGGACGGCGAGCTCCGTCCCATCAGCAAAAAAACCATCTCGGGGCTGGGAATGTGGCTCCGTTGGCAGAGTGCTTGCCTGGCAGGCACGGAGCCCTGGGTTCTGTTCCCCGGCACCGCAGAGAACCGGGCGTGGTGGCAATTGCTTGCAATCCTAGCACTCTTGGATGGGATGGCAGAGGTAGAGGGAGCATTTCCTTTGAAGGCGTGTCCTCTCTCACCCTTGCGTTCCTCCTCACTCACTTCCTAGTCAGACCCCCGGAGCGTGTGGGATTCCCACGTCTGGGGGTGGTGGGGTGGTGGTGATGATCTGAGAAGCGTCTCAGTGAACTAGCCCGAGTTTGATCCCTTCCAGACCGGGTCCTGTCTCCCCACCATCGGCTCCTTGGAGCTATAAACCCAGCTCTGTTACCTGGCCTGGTGGCTCATGCCCCTGTAATCCTGGCACTCTGGAGACCGAGGCAGGAGAATTGCTGTCAGCCCCAGGCCAACCCGGGCTACATAGCAAGAGCCCATCTCAATGATTTAATCAACAAAGAATAATAGCATTGTTAAAATTAGTACGCCAGCGGCTCTCTGCAGTTTGCAAATTCCCTTCCATATTCATGTACCAGTCAATAGATGGGTATTGAGTCCCACAATATGGCTGCCCCTGTGCTGATAACGATGCCACAGTTTGTTCTTTTGAAAAGTCAGGCAAGCCAAATGCTAAAGGCTGAACAGGAGTTTGGTGCTAAATCAGGAATAAGTAGTGAGCTAGGGCATGGACACAGGAAGAATTTGCTTTCTTTACACAGTATGGACTGGGATTTGAACCACACCCGGCTTAGGACAAATGCCATTTTTCAGCTCACATTGTTTATATGAGCCGAGGCTAGTCTGGAACTCACTACGTACGTAGCCCAGGTTAGCCTCAAGTTCACAGTCCTTCTGCCTACACCCTCACAGAGAAGTGCTGTTGTAGCCCAGGGCTTCCATAACTTTCATTATATTTTTTTTTTTACATGCGTGTTTGTATGTGTGAAAACACAATTTGCAGGAGTCGATTCTCTCCTTCCACCAGGTGTGTCCAGAGGGTTAAACTCAGGTCATCAGGTTTAAAAGCCTTTAATAATCAAAAACCATCGTGGTAGCCCTCAGGTAACTTTCAGAGTACAGAAAGACAGACTGTCCTCCAAAGCTACCAGCAGCGAGTAATTGTTACAGACCCCATTTAAAGCACAGGCACTTTGGTAGTGGGGTGAGGTCTGACAGCCATTCTCACTTAAGTGCAAGTGAATCTACTCAGCTACTTTCAGTTTAGCAATTGGCAAGGCAACCTAGGGAGTGAGATTTCACACGGGGACTGGAGGAGGCATTGAAAGCTGCCTGCGAGCAATGCCAGGAGACCCAGCCGAGGGCAATGCCCACTGACATTGTAGAAGCCACTTTGAAACTGACTACCTAACCCTGATGGCATTTTAAACATTATCTTTGCTCAGGTCTGTCCTGGCCTGTCTTCCTCCGGGGAAATGGTATGTTCTAGAGGTATAATTTGTGCAAGCACTGGGGGAGACCATCCAGCTGTCTCCCGTGAGTGTGTGCTTGCCTCGTGTCCCAGAAAACACTGCAGCCTATATCCAAAAGAAATGAAAACATTTGTACAAAATGCTCATAGCCCCCTCATTTGCACCAGTCGAGAGCAGCTTAGGCATCGTCAGAGGATGAACGGAATGACAAACGGTGACATGTTCAGATGGAATACCAGCTCGCACGGAGAGGACGAAACACAATGCTAACGGCCTGGACACTTGGCTAGCTTGCACAAAACCCAGGGTTCAACACCAATACCACATCTTCTGGGTGTGGCCAAGCACACCTTCAGTCCCAGCCCGTGAGATGTTAGAGGCAGGATTTTCAAGGGTCAGAAGTTCAAAGTCATTCTTAGCTCCATCAAAGGCCAGCCCAAGCCTGAAAAACAACAACAACAACAACCATAAAAATAGGCTAGCAAGATGTCCTAGAGAGATGTCCTAGAGAGAAGGCACTGCCTAGACACCGATGACCTGAGTTCAGTCCTTGGAACTCGCACGGTGGAAGGACAGAATCATCTCCCTTGGGTGGTCCTCTGACCTCCACATTCAAACTGTGGCAAACACATCCACACATACATACCTAAATAAATGTTAAACACACACACCAAAAAACAAACAAACAAATAAACCAAAAATCGAGAAAAAGAAGCCAAATGCAAAAAGGTTCATGTCATATGATTCCATTGGTGTAAAATTTGATTCAGAAAGGGGAATAAACAGCCGAGTATGGAAAGGATACCTTTGTGCTCAGGAGGCAGAAGCAGGAGAATCAAGGCCAGCCTGGACTACATCGGAAGTTCCAGGACAGCCAGAGCTACATAGTGGGATATTGTCTCAAAAATCAATCAACCGACCAATCAACCAACCAACCAACCAGCCAAAGGAGCTCTGTGTGCTCCTTTCATTCCCCTGGACAGGAGCTGGTGTGTGGCTGATACCTACAGGCCAGACACGCAGTGACGGTGAGTCCTGGCTAGCTGAAGGCAAGCTGCTTGATGCCACGGGAAGAACGTGCTTACCGGATTAACAGCCGCACTCTGGGCGGCAGGAAGGGCGACTTATTCCAACAGTGACAACACCGGGAACAGTAGCTTCATTCAGAGTAGGTGCTGGATAAGTCTGACTTCAAGTAACTGCTATTTTTCCGAATTCTTCCGGCTTCTGCTCTGGTAAACAGGGAAGAAAGCTGCGAAAGAGCAGATATCCTGGTTCATTTTCCACACCTATGCATAGGCTCTCAGTGTCCTGTCCAGTTCCTCAGAGTTTTCCTTGCTGTAGAGAAATACTGATGGCGGGTGAGGTGGCTCATCAGCTTAGGAATGCTTGTCACCAAGACTGATTACCTAAGTTTAGTTCCCAGGTAAAACACACACGCACACGCGCACACACACACGCACCCCTAATTAAAAATTTTAAAAACTCTGGTGTGGTGGTGTACACCTTTAACTCCAGCACTCAGTAGGCGTAGTAGGCAAGTGGACCTCTGTGAGTTCGAGGCCAGCCTGGTCTACACAGAGAGTTCCAGGGCAGCCAGAGTGTCATGGCAAAACCTTTCCACAAACAAAACTAATAATAACGATAGTGACAAAAACCCTAAAAGATAAAAAAATAAATATGGACAGTAGAATTAGCATAAGCGATAAGAATGCCCGGCTTTCTATTCTTTACCACACCGTGTCTCCCGGAAACCCTCCTCCTCGGTTTCTATCTTTCGTCCTTCTCTCCCAGAAACTGCAGCAGGATCTCACCATCTGCTGAGTCCTTCGGTTCCAGGATGTCTTGGTTTCCAGGGAAGCCTTCATGTGTGCTTTAAGAGACCAGCTCTTGCCACATGGTCCAGAACAGCTGCAAGTTCGCTGGGCCACAGCCTCGGCCCCCGAGGGCAGGATTAGGGGTGCACACCACCACCAGGCCCCCCCGACACCCGTTTTCTTTCATTCTGAAGCAGTACCCTGCCCTATTCTGTTTCTCAGAGACTCTCCTTCGCCTTTATTCTCTTTAAAGATGGGCTCAAGAGCCCCTCCCTTCCTGGCTTCCATATAAGCCAGGACTGTAGGTCCACCACACCCAGCCTTGTGCTATGCTCCCGAATACAATGTCCTATTGCCATGCGACCAGTAAGGTTGCTTTGGGGGATTTATTTATCTATCTAGCTATCTATCTGTCTATCTATCTATTTATTTAAAGACTGGGTCTCTCACTATGTAGCCTTGGCTGGCCTGGAACTCAGTATGTAGACCAGGTTAGCCTCAAACTCATAGAGCTCCCCCACCTCTGCTTCTTGAGTGCTGGGATTAAAGGTGTGTGTCCCCAGTCCAGTGCTCATGAGCATTTGCGGTCACCTGAAGCATGTGGCCTGGCACAACCAACCAAAGAGACACCGGATTCTGACACGTCTCCTTTTTATAGACATTTTACACGAAGGGGATACAGGCCCCATAAGCCCACGGAGCCGGCTTCATTGCTCATTCCCAACCTTAGACAACCCGGTACACCCTCCCGACAGCCCTCTCTGGTTAGGCATCCTCTCACCACCAGTTGGTTTGCCAGTCTGCATCTCCATGTTTGCCATGAGGGTTTCCTGCGTCACTTTCCTTCACAGTCATCACTATGTTCGCCAGGAGCGTTCAATGAATCACTTTTTCTCAAAATCGTGTTCCCCGAGAGACACAGAGAAGCGATACAGTCCCTGAGCTATCACTGTACCACGTTTGCAGTGAACTGGGACTTCTCGTTTAAAAGTAGCAATGTAAAATGCAGTCTATTCCGGAGCCGTCTGAAATGAGTGTGGCCCAGGAACCCGGATTTAGGCTAACCCACGTCCCGTGTTCCAACGTGGAACAAAGAGCACTGTAAATCAAGGCCAGTTTCAAATACATTAGCGAGCCCATCCATGTGGTGGTTTGAATGAGAACGGCTCCCATAGGCTCATATGCTTGATTGCTTGGTCTGCAGTTGGTGGAACTGTTTGGGGAGGATTAGGAGGCGTGGCCTTGCTGGAGGTGTGTCACTGGGGTGGCTTTGAGGTTTCAGGAGGCCACA